TACTCACCAAGTTCGTAGTGAACGAGGGGAGGTGGAGACCAGACAGCTCACCAGACGGGACCGCCGGACACGGAAGCACAGTGGAAGACCGTGCAAGCACTGGGCCCCCAGAGGGGTCAGCCAGTGAGACAGGAACAGGTGCAGGGAGGGGAGTGACTGTGGTACTGTCGCGAAAGAAACAGCGGGAAGCACCAGAGTCAAGTGTAAAGGTGTGCAAGGCCTGTGCAGGCGCAGTACCAAGGGGAGCAGACTCACAAGCACCTAGTTTTGCAGGGGCTATACCAGGGGCTATACCAGGATCCGGCGGCACACACAAGTAGCAGTCACCCTCAGCATGAACAGACAATACATACATAGCAGCAAGAATTGCCTCATAGTCAAGATCAAAGATAGGTACATCACGCCTAAGCAAGTCTGCCCAGTTGGGGAACTCAGGAGCATCAGGAAACTTGGCGCGCCAGGCGTCGCTAGGCCGAGCGAAGCAGCGCTGCTCAGTGTGAAAACCTGTGCACTGGCGACCAGCGCGGGGACCTGTGCGGATGATATAGGGGCAGCGACCAGGACCCCCTGAAGCCCCACGCCCGGCATACCAGTCAAGAAGTTGTTGGGAAGTGGGGGTCTGGCGCTGACGCTGATGCTGCTGCTGCTGCTGCTGCTGCTGCTGCTGCTGCGGCTGCTGCTGGCCCTGACCACCAATGCCACCACCACTCCCTCCTCCCCCACCGCCGCTGCTGCCCGCTCCACCGCTCCCAGTGCCTCCGCCGCCCCCACCACCACCTCCACCGCCTCCACCCCCACGACCACCCCCACCACCTCCACCTCCCCCGCCGCCTGCACCACCGCCACCTCCACCGCCACCCCCACCGCCCCTGCCACCCCTGCCGCCCCTGCCGCTGCGACGCTTCCCACTAGGAGCGGAAGCAGCTCCGACCTCCTCAGCACCAAGGTAGTCGTGAGCAGCAGCTGCGGAGGCGTAGGAGGGGGTGAGAGGGGAGGGGGAGCACCCCTGAAAGAGGGGAGAGCGAGGAGTGCCACGAGCAGCACCTACAGCGAGGATGTTCTTCTCTGCTGCGAGGAGGTGCTTCTCGAAGTCGTCGACAGTGAGAGTGGTGGGGTCTAGTGCTAGGAAGTGGTCCCTGACAGAGCTAAGAGTGTCAGGGAGGCGGGTAACGAGGAAATAGAGAGTGAAGTACATCGGGGGGGGGGGGGGGGGGGGGGGGGGTTTGCGGCGCAAAACTCGGCTGAAAGGGCGGCACGAAAGCGAGTGTCAGTAGCGCGCAGGTGAGAAATGAGGTCCTCAGCAGTGGTGAACGAAGAAAGGTCGGGGAACTGGTAGGGTAGCATGAGCCGACCTATGGCTGCAGTGGCCGGGGAGGAGTAGCGCGCAACTACAGCGTCGTACAGTGTCTTAGCAGTTTTGTGCTGGTTGAAATGAGCGCGCTCAGGAATCGGCATATGGTTCCTAATAGCTAGGCGTGCTGCAGCATCGCGAGTCTGCCACTGTGAGCGTTCGAGAGCAGGAGCATCGGCAGCAGGGGCAACGCCAGTGCCAGACACGTAATCGAACAGTGAGACACCCTCTTTGGCATCAGTCAGAAGGAACAGTTGCAGGTCGTCGAGCCACACAGCGAACTCTATGGGGCGACCGTCAGGCTGGAACGCGAGAACATTAGTCGTCGTCATAACGGCAGCAGGCAAAGGCAGCAGGAAGCAGGCAGCAGACAGGGGGCAGTAGACAGTAGGCCGCAGGCAAAGACAGAAGGCAGCAGGCAGTAGACCGCAGGCTAAGACTGAGGCAGTAGGCAGCAGGCAATACAGGCAACGTGCTGGCAGTAGCTTGCCGTACTCGAGCTCCTAAGGTGGCGCTCTAGACAGTAGTATGCCGTGCAATTCTAAGGCAGCGGGCTCGGCAGCAGCGAGCCGCACAGGCAGGCACACGAGCAGGGCACGCGCGGCTGCTGGCTGCGTGCGGCTGAGGGCTGCGCGCGGCTGCTGGCTGCGCGCGGCGACGTGCTGCGCGCGGGTCCTGGCTGCGCGTGGCGACGGGCTGCGCGCGGCTCCTGGCTGCGCGTGGCGACTGCCAGCGCGCGCGGGTGCGTGCTGCGTGCGGCGACGGGCTGCGCGGGCGTTGCCTAAGCAGGCTGCGCGCGGGCGGCGTAAGGGGCGCACGGGCGGGGCCGAAACGGGCTGCGCGGGCGGGGCCTAAACGAGTCGCGCGGGCTGCTAAAGAGGCGCGCGCGGGAAAAAAAAAAGAGGGCCACGCGCGTGCAGCCGAGGCGCGTGCGGGCACTAGGCAAGGCAGGTACGTTTTAGTGAGGTGAAATAGTGAACGGTGGGCCCTAATCCTAGGTCCTAAGGACCTATGCTCTAGATGCCATGTTAGAATCTTAGGCAAGGTGGTGTGGACTATCGAGAGTTTTGGTACAAAAGGAAAACCTAAAGGGTTGTACCCCACAGTGAGTACCCCACTAAAGCCTACCTAAACTATAACATATAAACATATGTTTGACAAGGAGCACAGACTGGAGCACAGAAGGAAGCACATCGCTCTGCGTTACTTCCTTGCTCGAGAACTGCAGCAGCGTGGTCAGGTTCGTCTTGCTTACGTGGCCACTCGGGCCAACACTGCTGATATTTTCACCAAGGCACTTCAGTTTGATGGTCATCAGCGTTTTTGTACTGTTTTAGGCCTTGTGCCTACTTTGCCTCACTTGCTCACCGCGTGACTTTGCTTATACTGTGATCTATATATATACCTGCATGCTTACTCTTGCTAGAGTATGATCACTGTACTGTTTGTTTTCTTCTATATAACTCAGCATGTGAACTGGCCTTGTGGCCATTTGTTTGTACTTAGAATGTGTGGTGATTTCGTGACGTGATCCACCGTGAGCTTGCTTTGCTTTTCTTGACTGGTCTTGTGACCACTTGTTCTTCCCCACATTGCCTATGGGGGTGTGTTAAAATGTTATGATGCCTACATTGTTTAGCCCAGAAGGGTTACAACCCAATTAGGGTTAGTACTTGTACCCTACTCATTCATAGTTTATTCATTCTCGTTCTGTAGTTTGGCAGTTATCACTTCCGCGTTATTGAATCATGCGCTCTCTTCCCCATCACAACGCATAACACGTTACATGTTTCCTGTCACAAACTATCACATATGAACTCTATCATGATCTTCAGGTCAAGAAAAAAAAGGTTCATAGATCATCAGGGGCATAAAAATATTGAATGTAGCACGCTAACTAAGTTTGGGATAAATCTGCTCATTCACCTATCCGATATAGGTCTATTTGTTTAGATCATCTTATTAGCGATACATTCTTAAAACCACCAATACGGGTTCCCATTTGCCTTCTCTGTCACGCTAGGAAGCGCCTCGCCTCAGCAGCACCCAATGGTGCAAGTGATGGTGATACGAAGTGGCGCTGGCGGCGAGCGAATTCGGTTTCCACTTTGACGAAACATTTCTTTCGATCGACGTCTCGGCTCGGACCATGCAGGATTCGCATGCACGTTCCATGAACCCAGCAGGGACAATTGGTCAACGTGCAGGTCAGCAGAAACAGCAAAGCAGCATCTTATGAGCTGAGCTGAACGTCATCCGAGTCGCATGTGCAACCTCGGATTTACCGCGAGCCCCCAGTCCGCCCCAGCCCCAGGCAGAAACCCTGACCTGACTTCCGTCCCGTCAGCACGACGCGTGTTCAGAACTAGAAGCAGCCAATTGCAAGAGGTCTTGCATTCAGCGACTTTCTCAAGCCGCGTTTTCAACATGGTCATTCGAGGTGGAAGAAAATTCGGTCTTCTTTGTTTCAGTATGGTTTGGTGCGGTAGTGGGGGGCAGGTTCGGATTTGCCAAGTCCCCCTAGTTCGGTGAGTCGCTGACTGTACGCTCAGCACCAGCCCCTTCCAAGGCTGATTCGCGGTTGGTCGGTTCGCAGCTCGTGTGAAAACGGGCATCGCCGTTCCGCGGTGGTTCGCCCCCCCTCCCCAGGTCAGCCATGGCCACGCGGAAGGGAATTTGCGTGCAGCAACTCAGCTCACCATCACCAGCCAGCCCACCACCGCCCGCCACTAGCCCAAATTCGCTCGGCACAGTTTGCCGTCACTGAGTTTCATTTCATCTGCCCGACCAACAAGTGGAGGTTGCGCAAGACGCGCTGAAGGGGTCATCTGGGAGTCAATAACGCAAAAACACCAGCACATTGCTGGGAAAGGATTGGATGGCATGGCATCCCACACCCATAATGCAATTCATCGTCGCCACCGAACGAGAGAATGCTCTGATTGGTCAAGGATAGTCGTGCTTGTTCGCCACAGCACCGAGGAAGTGTGTGCGACGACGAAGGAGAGTACACCGACACATCCCATAACCGTCGCACATCAGTGCCGCCGACCCATAAAAACACGCGATAGGCAGTTTCAACACTCCATATCGTTTCGTTCCAATAATCCAGTCTCCAGCCCGTCGCATCGTTGTCGCATTCACTCATTCCCAGCACCACATCCGCCCCACCCCACCCCACCCCTACACCGCCGCAAGAGGCGGTGCCTGAGCGACGGACCAACAAAAGGGAAATTTGCAGCGCTGACTTGAATCACTCAATGTGACGCACGGCTCAGCCCACCACGCGCAAGGTTCTTTTTCGTCCCCCCTCGCACGCCAGCAGCGTACCAAGCCAAACACCAGCAACCAGTCAACCAGTTTCGATTTCATCCACACCGGGCCAGACCATCTGCAACGATTAGGTCGTGGAGCTCTTAGCTTCCTTCTCTCGCAACGCAACTTGTCGCAGACGCTTTTCTCTTGAGGACCCAGAGCACTGTTAGACGCTTATTGTTTTCTTAGCCTAGACGCATTCGCCCTCAATTTTTTCTCTAGCGATAGCATCAGCACAAGAAGCAGCTCAACAGAGGCAGTCACAATCCCTGCTCGTCAGAGCTAAAGATTGTCGGGATTCTGCACCGTTCTTTTAGATTAAAAGATACTCGCGATGACGGTGCCTCTTCCCTCCACTCCTCCGCCCCCTCGGGATTTCCTCACCGAGTACTCACTAGGTCGTCACCTAGGCAAGGGCGCGTTCGGCGAGGTCTTAGAATGCACGCATAACGCGACGGGCCGCCAGTTCGCCTGCAAGAGAATCGGCAAGCGATTAATCACCTCCGAGTCGGACGCCGCGGAAGTTCGAAAGGAGGTCGCGATTCTGCAGCAGCTCACCGCCGCGGGCCCGAGCCGCCACGGCGGAATCGTGCAGCTCGTCGAGGCGCTAGAAGACGGCGTTGCGGTGTACCTCGTTATGGAATTATGCGAAGGCGGGGATTTATTCGAGCTGATCAAATCCGATCACGCGGCGGGCATGCCGGAGGACATGGCGCGCGAGATCTTCCACCAGGTGGCGCTGGCGGTGGCGTACTGCCATACGCGCGGCGTTCTGCATCGCGACATCAAACCCGAAAACATCCTCTTCACAGGCCCTAACCAGCCCGCACCCGCCGCAGATTCCGGCGCGGAATTCGGCGCAGAATTCGGTGTAGAATCCGTGGCCGCGGAATGCTCGCAGAAAGATTTTGGGGATTCTTCCGCCGCCGAGTGGCGCTGGCGGGTGCGCGTGGCGGATTTCGGGCTTGCGCTCTTCCTTCCACACGGGCACATGGGGCACGGCATGGCGGGGAGCCGCTTCTACACCGCGCCCGAGATGGTCCGCGGGCGCAAATACGGCAAGCGCGCGGACGTGTGGAGCATGGGTGTGGTGCTCTGCGCCATGCTCACGGGGCGCGTGCCTTTTGCGGGGAAGGACCGCGCGGACGCGGAGGGCCTGCGGAGGTCGATTCTCCGCGGGGAGATCAACTTTTCCGCGCCAGCGTGGGCGCCCGTGAGCGCGGGCGCGCGCGACCTCGTGCGGCGGATGCTGGAGGTGGATCCGCGCAGGCGGCTCAAGGCGGCGGAAGTGCTGCAGCACCCGTGGGTGCTCGGGCTCGAGCTGCCGGATCTCACGGCGGCGGATGTGGTTATGTCGGCGGACCCTGCGGGATCAGAGGAAAAGGTTGTTCCAGTGAAAGCGCAAGCGGAATCAAATCTCGCGGTAGCGGCAAAGGCGTCGTGTCCTGTGGATTCGAAGGAAGCGGGAGAAGAGGAGAGAGAGAGGACGATGAATGCGAAGGAGAAGGAGTTTCAGCAGCAGACGGAGCAGCAAGCGGAGGGTAGCACCCAGATGGTTTCTAGCAGTGCTGCTCCTCCGCCCGTCGCTCCCCCAGTCTTTTCTCCCCGAGCTACACCCACTGCCCCACGCGTCGCCTCCCCTATCCGCTCCGCTGCTTTTCCCATTCGCCCTGCGTCCCCTGATCGCCCTGTTGGGTCTCCTATTCCCATTCGCCCCATCGCTCAGCCGCCTCTTGGTTCCGCTATAGAGCGATTCAATAAGGTCTGGCAGCAACAGCATCCCCCACAGCAGCTCCCAACGTGCCACCCAACCACCCCGCCCCCTCAAGCACCACCGTGCACCGCTCTCAAAACCCCCTTTCCGCTTTGCGGAAACGCACCTCCCCTTGCCCCGCAACAACCGCCTAACCTGCCAGCTTCAAATGTTTCTCACTCAGGCTGCCCGTCGTTCAACTCCCCCTGCCCGTCACAGTCCTCCGCGTTCCAGTCCACCCCACCCTCCTCCGCGTCTCGCTCCTCCCCTTCCCGCTCCTCCCCACCTCCTCTCTCCTCCTCTCTCTCTCCATCTCTCTCCAACTCCACTGCCACCTCGGCATCGACCTTCACTCAAATGGATGCAGCAGACATGGATGAATTCGGCATGGCGGATGGGGCTGGTGGCTTTGATGTCATGGCTGCGGATGGTATGGCAGGGGACGCGTCTCTTTCCATTCCGCTGAGCCTCTGCCTGCCGCCCATTTCTGTGTGCCGGAAAAAGAGTCACAGGGAGGAGTATGAGGAAGCTTTTGTTCCCGGCTCGCCCTGGTTCTCGCCTCGCCCTCTCCCTCTCACCGCCGGACAGTTGTCCCACAAGCAGCAGCAGCAACAGCAGCAGGAGAGCGTGAGGAAGGAGTATGAGGAAGCTTCCTTGGCTTTCTCACCCTGGTTCTCCCCTCGGCCTCTCCCGCTTGTCGCCGCCCCTTTTTCACATGAGAAGCAGCAGCACAAGCACCGTTACCATCAGCAACAACAGCAGCAGCAGCAGGTGCATTGCCCTGTGGGATCATCCCTGTCGGGGGATGAGTTCAGCAACAACAGCAGCATGTGCGGAGCCTCCTCGGCTCTCTCCTTCCAAGCAGCTTCCCGCTGCTTCATGGCCTTCAACCCCTGGGGATCTCTGCGAATCCACACCGTTCCTAATACCACCACTACCACCACCACCACCACCACCAGTGGTTTTAGTGGTGGCAATGGTGGCACTACCCATGCTCCTGATTCAGGAATTGAAGCTCCGGCAGAGGGTTCCAAGAAAAGCCATCTACAGCCTTTGTATAATGAGAACCAGCCGCCTGTTAATGTGGGTAGGGAGTCCAGGCGCACTTGTGGCCTGGGTAGGTTTTGCTCCTAGGCTTTTGGTTTAGTATGTGTTACACTGATTTATTTAACGTTATGATTGTTAGTCTGGACTGGATTAAGATACGTCACCATAGAGAATGGTCCAGTTGCGTCCGTATATTGTTCAGTTTAGATGTTGATCTGATCATCTATTTAATTGGGCTCAAACGGATAACACAACTCAAATGAGTGCAGACAATTGATAATCTAATATCTAATGTCTCGAGGTATGCCCACAGCGGCTCAGCTGCTCTGCGACAAGCCCAGATTACACCGCGCCCCCACCGAAGTTCCTGCTCTTCGGAAATCTAGCCGTTGTTCGTCGTGACATTGACGCGGCTCGATCTCCGCCATTCGTTTTCCACGTTCGGTTGTTGTCTTCATGTCAACGCTCGGATAGGGACCCCTCGTCGTAAGAGATAATAGTTACTAACGAAGATGCGCCACTGCCGTGCACACTGTCGCCCGTTACGGCAGCTTCTGTACTCGTTACAAGCTAATCGACGGCATGATCTCTGCCGCGAATTCGCCAGTGCAGTGGACGTCAGCGGCGGGGGATTCGCGAGAGCAGCGCAACCCGCGACGGAAAGAGCTGCGGGGAACGCGCTGAGAGTTATTAGTCCATCGGCAGCACCATCAACTCAGCACCCTTCTCTCAACTCAACACCCCTGCAGCATAATTTCATCACCCTAGATAAAAAGGCGTTCATTTCATTGCGTTGCGCGTACGAGCATGAGAATTCAAAAACCTTCAGTCTCGCGTCGCTCGTGCACCAGCGAACGGCCGAATCGCCACGATCGGATAACTCGAGATCACCAGCCGCAGTAGTTGCTGGCGATCCGCGAGTGCTATGTCGAAGCGTGGATCCGTCGAGTATTCGCAGCTTCGATACAAGAAGGCTCGCTTGCGCTCGTCTACATTCAGCAAATCCAGACGCTGCCGCTCCGCCAACCCCTCGAATCCGCTCCGCCTTCGTTCCTTCCGCCAGTCCAACTGCGTCATACCCCCTCGCGCACCCCCTCGCGCACGCGCACGCACAACCCCACGCGCAGTCCCTCTCCCACCCGCACTCTCACTTCTGCTCTCACGCCTACTCCCGTACCCGGAGAAGAATCGACCCCCACTTGATCTCTGCGCCTTCCGCAGATCCAACTGTGCCATACCCCCTCACGCACCCCCAACCCCGCCCGCAGTTCCTCCCCCACTCCCACTCTCACGCCTACTCTCGTACGCGAAGAGGAATCGCCCCCCACTCGATCTCTGAGCTGCGCCCGCCCAGCATCAACGGATCACGAGTTGCTCTTCGTAGCGGGCCGTTAGGATTCGGATCCGTGCATGGCTCCTGGTCGGGTAACAGCAGCAGCAGTCTGAGTGGCGGCGCCGCTTCTTCCGCCGCTTCTACCGCGCTTGGTAGTGGGGGATTAGGATTCAGATTCAGTCATGGCTCTTGGGCGAGTAGCAGCAGCAGCAGCAGCAGTCTCAGTGGCGCCGGCAGTGGCGGCAGCGGTGGTGGAGGGTTTCTGGGTTTTTCGTCGCCTTCCAAGAAGTTTCAGGAGAAACGCTTGATTGGGTGGGTACCTCGCTCCTTGTCTTGTGTGGCGTGGCGGAACGCCTTGTCTGCTTGCGTTCTTGCGTGCGTGCGTGCGTGGGTACATGTACATGCTGACGAGTCAAGGATCACGAGCCACCCATGATCCATGCCCCATGACCCATGACCCATGATCCATGCCCCATGACCCATGACCCATGACCCATGACCCATGACCCATGACCCATGACCCATGACCCATGCCCCATGCCCCATGCCCCATGCTCTCCCATGACCCATGACCCATGACCCATGACCCATGACCCATGACCCATGACTTATGACCCATGACCCATGACTTATGACCCATGACCCATGACTTATGACCCATGACCCATGACTTATGACCCATGACCCATGACTTATGACCCATGACCCATGACTTATGACCCATGACCCATGACTTATGACCCATGACCCATGACTTATGACCCATGACCCATGACTTATGACCCATGACCCATGACTTATGACCCATGACCCATGACTTATGACCCATGACCCATGACTTATGACCCATGACCCATGACTTATGACCCATGACCCATGACTTATGGCCCATGACCCACTACCCCGACTTCCTCCCGTGGTGCGTGGGGTCGCATGTGCCATGACCCGTGATCCATGACCCACCTCTGTCCATTTCCCCAACCCCCACAGCTACTCGCCAGAGCAGGTGTTTGACGTGGTGGCCGGGGTGGAGCGCTATGCCGACTTCCTGCCGTGGTGTGTGGGGTCTCACGTCTTGTGGCGGGCACCCGATGGCATGGAGGCGGAGCTGGAGATTGGGTTCCACATGCTGAGAGAGAAGTACCTCTCACGAGTCACCTACAAGCGCCCTCTCTTTGTGACTGTGAGTGTTCTTGTATCACTTTAAGAAAGTTACATGGTTACATGGGTGCACGGAACACATGGAGGCGGAGCTGGAGATTGGGTTCCACATGCTGAGAGAGAAGTACCTTTCTGAGGTTACGTACAAGCGACCGCTCTTTGTGACGGTGGGTACCTTTGAGGGGCCTCAGGTGTTGGTAGGGAGCTGGACAGCATGGGGGCGGAGATGGAGATTGGGTTTCACATGCTGAGGGAGAAGTACCTCTCGCGAGTCACCTACAAGCAGCCGCTGTTTGTGACGGTGAGTGCTACACGGGCTTCCTGCCTTGGTGTGTGGGCTCCCACGTGCTGTGGTGGGCACCTGACGGCATGGGGGCGGAGCTGGAGATCGGGTTCTACATGCTGCGAGAGAAGTACCTCTCGCGGGTGACCTACAAGCGACCTTATTTTATGACGGTGAGCAGTGTGTTGGGGTGCATGAACCACTTGTGGGAGTTGTCAAAGGTGTATGGACCGCATGGCCTCCGAGTTGGAGATCGGCGTTCAGATGCTGAGAGAGAAGTGCCTTTTCACGGGTCACCGACAAGCGACCACTCTTTGACAAGAGTCGTGTGTCATGCTGCGGGAAAGTCACCTACTACATGCGACCTCGTGTCAGTGATAGCTGGAGCTGAGCTAAGGTGACCCCGCCACCATATCTTGGGGCGTCCGCTCCTCGCGCCAAGGTTCTGACAACTCAGATCTCTTCTCTCACTGCCTTCCTCTGCTGCTCCCTACCTTCCTGCTCCCTATGGCCCACACACCCCCTCAGGCTCGCATTCCTCTGTGACACCAGGCCTGTACTCTCCAACACTGCCCATCTGCCACTGGGAGTTCTCTCCTGTGCTCAGACCCCCCTGCCCGTCGCACACTTGTCTCTCATCTCTGTCCTCTGAATCCTCTGCCATTCCCTCAGGCGCGTTCTGCTGACACGGGCCTCTTCCACCATCTCGACAACCACTGGGAGTTCTCCCCTGGCCGTCTCCCCGGCTCAAACCCTTCATCCTTGCCTTTTGTGTCACTCTTCCTTCCTGCCCCCTCCCTCAGGCGCATTCCGCTGACACAGGCCTCTTCCACCACCTTGACAACCACTGGGAATTCTCCCCTGAGCTCAGACCCCCCAGCCCATCTCACATTTCTCTTGCACCTCTGCCCTTCTTCTAACCTCCCCGCCATTCTCACAGGCTCGTTCTGCCGACACGGGGCTCTTCCACCATCTGGACAACCATTGGGAGTTCTCCCCTGGCCGCCTCCCCGGCTCCTGCCTGCTCATAGCCTTTCTGAATGCCCCTCTCCCCAATCTCGCAGGCTCGTTCCGCGGACACGGGTCTGTTCCACCATCTGGACAACCACTGGGAGTTCGCCCCTGGTCGCCTCCCCGGCTCCTGCCTGCTCTCCTTCTCCGTTGACTTCCAGTTCCGCTCCCTGCTCTACACCCAGGTGGGCTCCATGGAAGTGCTTTCGTAAGAGTCCAATACTTTAGAAATGCTTTTCTAAAATCGGAACTGGCTTTCTATGTAGACTTCTAGTTCCCCTCCCTGCTCTACACCCAGGTGGGCTCTACACCCAGGTTAGCTTAGGTGGATTTGGATTCGCCTAAGATTCACAGCACACAAGTCCGCTCATCTCTTGATTCTCGTTATAGCAATCGCAGCTACCGTAGCACGGTTACAGCGAAAATTGTTGCATTTGTTTAGGGTTCGAGTGATTTATCTCATAGCTGAGGGGTGTCCTGTTGACTTCAGCTGTAGGTAAATCCCCTTCCTCGCCATCTGGAGCTTCCTTTGCTGTGATTAACCTCGACCGCTTCTCAAAATGTTGTGTTTTTTCTTCTTCTTCTTTGCCTACTTACGTTTTTTTTTCTTCTTCTTCTTCTGCGCCATTCCTTCAGTTTCTGGACCTATTTTTTGACGAGGTGGTGAGCAGTCTTGTCAACTCGTTTGAGCGACGGTGCAAGGAGATTTATGGTCCGAGTAAGGTAGCTATGACAACTTGATACCGGTATATGTACATTTCTTGGGTTTAACCCATTCGAAAAGAAGGGTGACTTATGTTGGGGCGCCATACAATGTAGGAGTTAATTTGAACATGAAAGTATGAAGTATTTAGTTAAATACATAAAGTAAAACACATTCGGCCAGAACAGTTCCTGTATGTATACCCATGTGGATTAGGTGTACGTGTGTGTGGTGTTGATGAATGATGTGGTCAATGTGGATCTTGCAGATGCTGACCTCTAGCATCAAGCCATGTGGCTTTTCTTGACTGGGTCTGCGTCACAGCTTGGCAAAGAAGCTAGCGACTCGAGAGGGTATGCCACCTGTGGTAGAAATGCGGAAGAAACTTCAGGCGGCGCTAGCGCCTGTCGTGAAAAGTTGACGAAATTCGCGACTAGTTCGCAGACAGCTTCTCCAAAAAGCGCGCGACGAGTCGACTTCTTGCGTGGCACCATATAGCCGTGGATGGCATGCTGTTTCTTCAATTTGCCCCTACACGAACGGCCAAGATTGGTCTTGTCAGGTTCAGGCATTCTGGAACTGGAAGGCTTCATTTGGCCAAGCGGTGCGCACGCGCACCACAACCACACACGCTTTGCCCAGGGTAGGGGCAGCCGCTCGACTTGACACAGACACGCGCCCTGGTTTGCTGGGGAAGGAAAGCAAGGGGGAAGTGGGGAAGGGGGCTTTTGCGCGGTGATCGGATCGGAAAACAGCTGGGCTCAGGCGGAGGCGGGGCAAAGTCCCTCCCTGTGCGGCGGAGCTTGCCTTGGGGGAAGCTCCTCCCCAACAGCTCAAGTGAGAGTGCATGGGTGTAGTGGTAACCAGTTTTGTATAAATTCCAGCTATTCACACATTTGCAGAATTAGGGTGCAGATTCCCTTCTCCACCAACACCGACCCATTCTCCCACCAACACCCAGCCATTCATTCTTCCACAAACTCTGCACCTGCACTACCTTTTCTCCGCCATGGCGTCTCGTAAGGTGCTCCCATGCCTTGCGCTTGCCCTTGCGGTGCTTGCCTTGGCGGCGCCGCTCGCCTTCGGAGCTGACGCGAACGTCCTGGGAGGTAAGAAACGCACATTGTTTCAAATTTTCGTTTATAGCACATTGTTCACAATGTAAATTCACGTGCACCCGACATTTCCAGCACATTACAGCTTTCCATCCGTTCTCTCGAACGAAAAGTGTACTCTCACTGAGAACTGGCGACCGCATATGCTGCTTTTTTGCGTTTTTGCAGGCGCCAACTCGAAGCTCAAGCCAAGCCGCCGCTCGCTGTCCGACGACCACCACGACGACCATCACGATGGTTCCGACGACCACCACGACGACGACCACCATTACGGCGACTCCAACCATCACGACGGCGATGACGACCACCACTACTACAAGTCGCCGTCCAAGTCGCCCAGCAAGTCACACGACTCCGACGACTGGTACCACCGTTCGCCATCCAAATCCCCTTCCAAATCTCCGAGCAAGTCTCCCGGCAAGTGGCACGACTCCTCCTCCGACGACAAGTGGCACCGGTCGCCGTCGCCCAAGTCGCCGTCGCCCAAGTGGCCGTCTCCTAAGTCGCCGTCGCCCAAGTCGCCTGGCAAGTGGAACTCGCCGAGCAAGTCGCCTGGGAGCAAGCGCGACGACGACCACCCCTGGAAGTCGTCGCCCAAGTCGCCGTCCAAGTCGCCGGTGTGGGGCAAGTCGCCTGAGAAGGGCCACGACGACGACCACCACTGGGGCGGCAAGTCGCCGTCCAAGTCGCCTGTGTGGGGCAAGTCGCCTGGCAAGTACCACGACGACCACGACGACGACCACAGTGACGATCATAGCGAGCACCACTACAGCGCCGGAAAGCCCAGGTGGCAGCACAGCTAGAGCGTCGGATAAGAGGAAATCGCGACATGATCCATTTTATCTGCTGGGCTTCGTGGACTCTTTTCTATTTTCTCTTGGTAGCTGCTTTGATCGATTCCTCTGTGCGTGGAGGGGGACTTTGGTGTGTGGGGCCTTTTTTTTTTTGTTTAGCGTGCTGGATGGGTGGGGGGGGCATTGGAGTCAGGGAGAGACGAACCTGTTTGGGGAAATAATATTTCATTTTGGAACAGCTGGCGAATTAGGGACCTACAATGCGCTACTAGAACGTGAAAGATGTATGGTGTGCAACGCCTGCAGTGAAGTCCCAGACAAAATGCATAACAAAGTTCTTAGTCCAGCATCTCAACTTAACCCAACCTCAAACGTTACTGGAAACGAGGTAGTGTCTGGCACCACTTAGAATCGGTCCCATCAATTACTGCCACTTTGGGACCTAATGACTGCTATCATTTGCTTGGCTTGGCGGGTCAAGCTGGGTTCCATGTCAATCTATTAGTATGAGCTGCAGCAGAGCAGATCAGCACCAAGCTGACTTCGCTGGACTTGAGAGGGAGGGAAAGATGGAAAGATCATACCACAATACACCACTGCAGATATGGTACCAGTGCAATCTGACTGCCTCTTTGAGACTGCTGCTTTGACAAACTGATTCAGCCCTTAGCACGAAGTTGGTTGTGTAAACATGTTGCAATTGCTGCACTCAGGTCTTTTTCTCGAGCCATACGTACCATGTCCTGTGATGTGACTGATCAACGCCAAATGAAAATCGTTCAGGGTTTATGCCAATCTGAATATCCAATGTGCGCAGCTTTTACTGTGTGTCCAACACTGCCCTGTACCAGCAGATATAGCTTGTTGAGTAGCACGGGGTATTGTGGGAATGCTGGGTAATTGTACCAAGACGGAGCTTTGACGAGCTTCTGGGAATGCTGGGTAGTTGTGCACGCAAATTTTATTGCATATATAAACAGAGTTACAAAGGGAGAAGCGGGCCCAGCTGCCAGCTCAGGCCACCTTCCCTGAACCACACAAGACCTTTTTAGATGGCATCAGTCAGAGCACCCTTTTGAATCATCTCCCTGACCTCGTCATTACACGCGCGGTCCAGGGCCGTCCGTCCCTCCCAGTCGGGCACGTCGCACCGCGCACCAGCGTACAGGAGCTCCTCGATCTTCCGCACGTCACCCTCCGATGCAGCCATCATGAGCAGAATGTCGCACGCGTGCGTGCCTGACTCGATCATCTTCTCCATCTTCTCGTACGTCCCCTCGGCGGCGAGCATGCCGGAGTAGTTGAAGTACTGCTGGAGGAAAGTTTTATTTGGGAGGGAAATTAAGCTATGCGCGAATCTTAGTATTGCGTGCGTTTCTCCATTCTTTGTGGCACCATACTGAAATCTGGGATTGAAGCCAGAATGCTAATCAATTCAAACCGTGCCGGGAGAAATAAACAAGAGTCATGACAGGGGGGCATTTGAGGTAAGTCAGAAACAATGGAACTGGGACCCAACGGTGAGCGAAACAGATCGTGGAGAGCAAGTAGCGCGGCACTTACGTGGGCGACGTCGTCAGCGTCATAGTCATCGCGAAGTTGGCTCGCAAAGATGCCGGCGCTCTTGGCGCTCTCTCCGCCGAGCTTGAAGAACGCGACTGTGCGAGCAGTGGATCTGACGCCGAATGCAGCCGTGGCTGATTGCTGGCGCACACCTGAGGTGAATTTAGTGAAGAAAGGATGATTCAAAGGTTGGTTTGTTATCTGATAAGAAATTATCAAAACGCTTCAAATAAGCCATTGAGGGTTGCTGAGTAAAAAAACACGCAGTCCAGTTGATCAGCAAGCTGGCGTCCTATACCTGCGAAGGAGGACGTGAGGCTCGTCCTCTGAGCCGGGCTGGAAGCGGCAGCAATAGCGCCTGAGGCAAGCTTAGCAGCAGCCATGGTGGTAGCAGCCATTGTTGTAGTTATGGAGGGTGGAGCAGACAAACGAAGAAACTGCTACGTTGATGGCTGTTGGAAGGAGAAGCGAGTTCTCTGTTGGATCTGTGAGCTCAAAAGTTTGCTTTGAAAGATGAAGAATCTGTGAAGACATTATACACAGCAGTTGGGTAAAAGGAGATTCGCGACAACGGCCGCGAAGGCATTTGCGAATAACCGCGAATTTTGCGCGATACGGCATTCCCCATGATTGCCTCCGTTGATTGCTCGAGCCGCGGGGCTTGATTGGCGAAGTGGCCGACATCCAGAAATTGCCAGCGCATAGACTTCCCGCCATCTCATTTGCTCATTTGAACGTTCAGTACACGTGTGAAGCATTTTTTGCCACGTGTTAGTACCTCTATGGGGCTCCTCGGGCCCCCTTCCCATTAGCCAGTGCTTATATCTACTAGAAAACGTGCGCTGTCACACGTCACGATTGCATGAGAATCCAGTAGCTATACAGGGTACAAAGGCAATTCAGGATCCATATACACGAAGGTTAATCAGTCAAAATGCATAAACATGTAACTAACACCCCAAATAAGTGTCAAGCACAAAGTATGGTTAGTGATAGCATCATGCAAAAGGCTGCACGGGGTGCACTCATATTGAAGCACATTGTGCAGATAATGATGATAATCCTCATAAATGGTTCTCTTATGAAACATTGTTCAATCAAAGCAAATATTAGTCACCAATCATCAACAGGAAGTTAGCATAAGCAAATAAGCACAGAAATACATTATAGAATGAGTTGGCCTTATTACTAATGCACTAGACAGAGTGAGTTTGCTTCACAACTTTTATTGTGGTGGTCCATGCACCTCCTCTATATCAGGGTCGCTCATCTTTATTCTGTTACCCCCTAGGGCCAACTAATCCCTGTGCTCCTCCCGCATCTTCTCCTCCCTCATCTTCTCCTCCCTTTCTCTGTCCTTCGCCATATCCTTCTTCTTGTTCTTCCGAAACCCCTTCAAGTTATTCTGCCACTTGCAATGCGACTGCTGCGGAGCGCACATCTCCCTCCTCGGATCCGTAAGTGTGAAATTCCAGAGCTCAGGCGGCTGATTCTCCTCCATAAGCAGCTCCATCCTGTACTCGATACCAGCCTTGTCGTTATTCTTAGGAAGACAGTGCGCCTGTAGCTCCTCGGACATCGAATCGTGCAGCGTGTACCACAGCTTATGCGCACCGTGATGCACAAACCGCCGGTGCGTGTTCATGACAATGTTACAGTCGAAGTCGCGGTAACACCGCCAGGGTTTCTTGCCCAGGAAATGCAGAGCGTGGATGGTGGGCGGGTCGGACGCGATGAGCGAATCTAGGGTTTCCGTCTCGAGCTCTCGCTTGGGGCCGTCGTCCGCGTTGATATATTTGAGAGTGTTTATGGACTTGGGCAGGCGGTGCCACCAGTAAAACACGTCGTTCACGAAGCCCTGTGGGGACCGGAGGGATTTGGGAGGGGAGGTAGGCAAAAGGTGACGGTGACGGAGATGTTATTGCCCACCTTCACATTACCATGTGAACCAAACTATTGTGCAGCGTGAGGCGCGGGACAGGAGCAGGCGCATGGTGCATGGAGTAAATGTGGTTGGAGCATACACGGAATGCAACCTGGAATGCATCTGGGGAGCAGCGAGAGTGGGTTCTGCGATTGAGTGCGTGCATACTGACCTGATCACCGCCGTTGTAGGACTGAATCAGTTCAGTGTTTTCCATCATAAGCTCGAATGTACACTGCGATGGCTCGATCACCATCACGCCCGAGTTAAAGAAGCGCCGGCTGTTGCTGCGCGCCGACAGCTCGGGGTACTCGAACAGGTGGTCCATGTTTCTTAAAAAGAGGATATCCGCGTCCACGAACACCACCTTTGCGTACTCCGTCAGTTGCCATAATCGGAGCTTGCTGTACCGGGGAGTCGACGGACAGAGCGAGGAGAGAGGGCAGAGAAGGCTTGAATGAGTGATATCGGAAGACAAGAAGCAGGAGAGAGGGGAGAGAACCATTCTTAAGATGGATGGAGATGAATCGGTCGCACTGGCAGGATGCTTGAGTTTTGTCACGTTCAAGCGTGGATAAGAAGAGAAGACGCTCAAGAAAAAACGGGAAATGGCACCTGTATTTAAGAAGCGTTGAGCTGCTAAAAGCTAATAAAGCCACCTGTAGTTAAAAAAAGACAGGTAGTTTAGAAGTCTCACCTGTAGTTCCACTGGTTGTATGTGCCCGCGCGTCCGAACGGATTGCGAATCCTCTCAATCTCGATCAGCCGCCACCCGGCCGCTTCTAGGCCTCCGCGGCTGAAGTTCCCGATCTCCGCGGAAACCAGCGCTACCAGCTCCGCGCGCGTGCCGCTCCGCTGGAGGCTGTTCGCCAGCGCGATCGCGCCGCACACGTAGTCCTCCTTGCTGTGCAGCACTGTGGCGTACGCAAGTCGGCGCGCAGCGGCAGGTTGCTGATCGGTCAGTTGACCTGGCAGCAGCTGGGGTTCCGGGGTGGCGAGCGCGCAGTTCCCGACGGGCTGCAGCCGACGGCGCATGTCGGCGACCGTCAAGTTGAAGAGCCAGGCGGGCCCGTCGCGGTGCACCAGCCGGTTGCAATGGAAGAGGTTGGGCGGCGGGCGGCAGTCGGAGAGAACGACGACGGGCATCCAGGGGCGCGCGGACTGGGAGGGATGGGGAAGCATGGGGGACGGGGGAGGAAAGTAGAAAGTGAGCGGCGGGAGAGGGCGTCAGAGAAAAACGATAACGGGCATCGGAGAGCGGACATGTGGCGTGAGGGGGGTAAGGGGAGGGAAGAGGGGGGGGAAGATGAGACGTACCCAGGGTAGCGAGAACGAGAGTGAACAGGGAGAGTGGGAGAGAGAGGGAGAGCTAGACAGAGAGGGGGAGACGGGGAGAGAGAGACAGAGAGAGCGAGGCAGAGAGCAGGAGAAATCGCGAGACGACCTCGAGCATTCACTGCGGGGCCACGGCAGAAGCAAGCGAGAGCGCGCCAAATTACCTGCTTGACGTATTCGGCGACAGCAAACACCAGCTGGTGCCATCTCACGTCCCTCGCGAACGACCCGTTCACGGGTTGGCACGGCATGTGTGCGATCAACGCGTCGACCGTGCGAAGATCCTGCGACCATTCGGGCAGCGGCAGCTTCGGGCACTGCGCGTTTGAGTCTTCGTCGAACCGGTCCGCGAAAATGTCATCCCACGTTAGGTCTTTAAGAAGCGGCGGCGCGGCGAGAGGGACGAGTTGAAACCCCGCCTGCTTAGTCTGTTTGATGATTCTTCTGTCGACGTTGAATGCCGCAACGCGCGTTATTCTAAACGTCTTCCACAGAATATGTCCTGGTTGTTGCTCCTTGAGCTCCACGTTTTCCGGCGGCGATAGCGGAGGGGGGTACTGGTCTTCCCACCATTGAAGCGTTGCGAGCCCGCGTGTAAAGACGTCTACGTGGCTGGGGTTGATTGGCCTCATCATGATTGAGAGAGCGTCGTCAACAACCGTCGGATTGAGGAGGATGAGAGAGAAGAGCAGGCAAGCGACGGCGATTGCCGCCCATTGACCCATGCGATTGGGTGGCGGCTGCTGTAGCCCCTTTGATGGCTTCTGCGGACCTCAACGAACCCCGCACGGCCCACTCGCGTCGAATCATGTGTGCCCTTTAAGCCCCATACCTGCCGAAGCGCATGTGCACGTCGGAAAATTCGCTCCGCAAGCCCCCCATTGAAACCAACCAGAACGCAAAGCTCGACTCCGCTGGTTGCGGAAAGCCTCTCGCGCCTCGTCGCAGGTGGGTGCTAGCAACTCGCGCGGGGCGCAGCAATCAGACATTGTGATTCGTTCAATTGTGGTAACCCTCCAGTGCTGGCACGAAATGTGTGCTCCAAGGGTGTGCTCGTCGAGCCATTCCGCGCGCACCACGAATGGCGGCATGTATGCCGTCAACAAAAAACGGCAGCTGTCTAGTCAAGAAAGCAGGTGATTTGTCAAGCATGATGGGTTTGCGAAATTGCGATGTCGCAGAGCCTTCGCATGAGAAGAAGGGCAAGGTACGTGGTGGCTGTGGCGATTTCGTCATGCTGGCTTTCAAGAGACGGCATAAAATTTGACATATCCATCTTCATTAGCGCAGTTCGCTTGCCTTCGCGGGAGAAGCTGTTAAAATGAAAAAATAGTGTTTTGTCTAGAATGCGTCCACACAGGCTTAACAACACCTCACTGGAAACACTCTACATTAACGAAATGAATGCGATTAACCCAGCCGCAAACGTCACTGGACGCCTCGTTAGCAACCAGGCAACCCAATTAATAGTTGACATGCGCTTTTGAATAAAAGATGAGGCATTCAAGCACCACCCACACGCAAATTGCTATTCATATCACAAGTAGCATAGCAAAACCTCAACCCTCACCCTACCCTCCCTCTTCCAGTCCGTAGTCTTCCCCAAAGTATGTGTCGACTAGATAGCTGGACATGGAGTGCAGCTCCTCATTGCCTACAAATTGGGCTGCTTCTATCGCATCAATGCCGTCCGCCTCCTCCACAAGCCGCAGCCCTCTTTTGTCTGGTAGTACGCGTAGAACCTACACAATCAGACAAGACAATACATTTTGGATACACAATGGGTCGTTTCTGTGTGCAAAGAGCATGTGTGAATGAGAACATGAGAGATATGTGAATGTGAGCATGAGATCATGTGTGCATGAGAGCATGTGTGCATGAGAGCATGAGAGCATGTGTGCACGAGAGCAAGTGTGCGCGAAAACATGTGTGCACGCGAGCACGAGATGAGGACATCTGTGCGCAAGTGCATGGTGTGTGTGAGTGCATGTGTCCATGTGTGCATGTGTGTGTGAGAGCATGTGTGCATGTGTGTGTAAGTGCATGTGTCCATGTGTGTGTGTGGGCACCCACTCCCTCGTTGCTCCAGCCCATAAAAAACTCCCCATACACCTCCCTTCTACACACCTTGCCCTCCCCCCATGCTCCTCACCACTCCAGACTACTGCCAGCTCAGTCAAGCAGCAACCCCACCATTTAGCTACAGTAGCACCAGACACAGCAGTGGCAGTGTCATGTCCTCACCACCGCATACCCCTCATCACCACCCCATACCTTCCCGCACCGCTCCTCACCACTTCAGTGAACTGCAGGCCGAACCGCCCAGCGTCAGCATCTGCTGAGCGGATAAGGGAGAGGAAGGGCGGCAGGCACCCCGCGTCCACTAGTGCACCACTACCAGCTCAGCTCAGTCAGCCAGCTCACTCAGGCCGCCAGCACCACCAGCTGCAGCAGTACCACCATTATCAGCCACAGCAGCAGTCTTACCACCGCACACCTTCACATACCCTTCCCACCACCCCGCAGCTTCCTACACCCCTCCTCACCACTTCAGTGAACTGCAAGCCGAGCCGCACAGCGTCGGCATCAGCGGAGCGGATGAGGGAGAGGAAGGGCGGCAGGCACCCCGCGTCCACTAGTGCTGCCACGCGTGACTGCTGGACTGCCACGTGGCGCTCTCCCATTGGCTCTTGCTCCGCAGGATCCACACAGAGATTCGCTGCCAGAATATTAGATTCGGGCAGGATCATCTTAAGGTGAATTTTTCACCTAGAGCATATGCAGGGACTAAATCCGGTGACAGAAGAATGGCTGAAAGAGTATTATGAGGAGACTGCAGAAGAGCCTTTGCTTGGATGGGTCAAATGGAAAATCGATTATGGAGCGAGAAGGAAAACGCTTGGGCAAAAAGGTGAGAGCAATCGCCACAGAGGCAATGAGACACAGGGACTGTGACAGCATGCACAGCAGCACAAGGATCCACATATATGCCCCAAGATTAACCAGCACGTGTGCGAGCTACAAAGGGACTGACCGAGAGCAAAGGCAACTTCTCTCTTAATGTCGAATGGAGACGTGCGGAGCAAGTGCACGAGCAGCTCATACAGTCTCGACGCCTTGCCTGCTTCTCCCATCCCCCCTGTGTCTCCGCCAATCACAGCCGCCTTTTGCCAGCTGTCGCCAGCTGTCATGTTGGACACCGCCCATGCCGTCTCCTGCAGGGCGCACACGGGAGGATATTCAAGGGGTCTCAAACTAAAGAAGCGCGATGGGGAAACACCTGTGGCACCCTTTTGAGGGGATAAAATACCTAAGGCGCCTCACGAAGATGTGCTGTCGGATTTTGAAAGACTCCTCCTGCAAGGGCGCGAACGGGAGGATTTTCAAGGCGTCTTGACGAGGGCGGATCTTGAGGCGCCTCAGGAATAACATCAGGAATAACCTCAGGAATAACCTCAGGAATAACATCAGGAATAACCTCAGGAATAACCTCAGGAATAACCTCAGGAATAACCTCAGGAATAATAACCTCAGGAATAACATCAGGAATAACCTCAGGAATAACCCCAGGAATAACCTCAGGAATAACCCCAGGAATAACCCCAGGAATGCCCCAGAAATAACCTCAGGAATAACCTCAAGAATAACCTCAGGAATAATAACCTCAGGAATAACATCAGGAATAACCTCAGGAATAACCCCAGGAATAACCCCAGGAATAACCCCAGGAATACCCCAGAAATAACCTCAGGAATAACCTCAAGAATAACCTCAGGAATAACCTCAGGAATAACCTCAGGAATAACCTCAGGAATAACCTCAGGAATAACCTCAGGAATAACCTCAGGAATAACCTCAGGAATAACATCAGGAATAACCTCAGGAATAACCTCAGGAATAACCTCAGGAATAATAACCTCAGGAATAACATCAGGAATAACCTCAGGAATAACCCCAGGAATAACCCCAGGAATACCCCAGAAATAACCTCAGGAATAACCTCAGGAATAACCTCAGGAATAACCTCAGGAATAACCTCAGGAATAATAACCTCAGGAATAACATCAGGAATAACCTCAGGAATAACCCCAGGAATAACCCCAGGAATACCCCAGAAATAACCTCAGGAATAACCTCAAGAATAACCTCAGGAATAACCTCAGGAATAACCTCAGGAATAACCTCAGGAATAACCTCAGGAATAACCTCAGGAATAACATCAGGAATAACCTCAGGAATAACCTCAGGAATAACCTCAGGAATAACCTCAGGAATAACCTCAGGAATAACCTCAGGAATAATAACCTCAGGAATAACATCAGGAATAACCTCAGGAATAACCCCAGGAATAACCCCAGGAATACCCCAGAAATAACCTCAGGAATAACCTCCAGAATAACCTCAGGAATAACCTCAGGAATAACCTCAGGAATAATAACCTCAGGAATAACCTCAGGAATAACCTCAGGAATAACCCCAGGAATAACCCCAGGAATACCCCAGAAATAACCTCAGGAATAACCTCAAGAATAACCTCAGGAATAACCTCAGGAATAACCTCAGGAATAACCTCAGGAATAACCTCAGGAATAACCTCAGGAATACACAGCTGTCACATCGAACACACACACACACAGCCTCGGGCGCCAAAGCTTCAGAAACACACAGCCAAAGCTTGTTGTTCACGGCAATACACAATTCCACACTTTCCACCCCTTTCCAGTGCTGCTGCTATGATACAACCACCCTCCCCTCTCACCTTCTTCTGCCCATGCTGCTTGTTCTCAAGACACTCTGCCAGTCCAAACCGCCCTGGCCTCCCTGCCGCTGCTCTTCTCACACCCTTTAGTGTCCCACCTCCATCCATCACCACTAACCCCCCCTCTCACCTTCTTCAACCCCCCTCTCACCTTCTTAACCCCCATCTCACCTTCTTCAGCCGTGGTGTTGTTTTCAACGCACTCCGCCAGCCCTGACAGCCCTGGCCCTGCCGCTGCCACTGCCACACCCCTTTCCTGCCCCCTCTCCATCCCACGCCACCCCCCCTCCCTCACCTTCTTCAACCCGTGGTGTGTGTTCTCAAGGCACTCCGCCAGTCCCGACAGCTCCGGCCCTGCCGCTGTTGCTGCTGCTGCGGTCATACCCCTTCAATCCCTTAAATTCTTCGCCCAAACACCACCCCCTCCTCTCACCTTCTTCAGCCCATGGTGTTTGTTCTCAAGGCACTCCGCCAGTCCCGACAACCCCGGCCCCGCCGCCGCTGCTGCCACCACGCCCGGAGGGGCCGAGGCAGGGATGGGCTGGGCTGTTGCACACATAGGAAACAGAAAATACGGGATGGGGAGTGGGAGTCGCGATAATTTGACGCCTTGACAGCCCCGATTTGGCTGCTGCTGCCACCACGCCCGGAGGGGCCGAGGCAGGGATGGGCTGGGCTGTTGTTAGGCACATGGAGAGGAGAGGTGGAGGGGAACAGAGGAGGTGGGGTGGGGAATGAGAGTTGAGATAGCTCGATAATTTTGGTGATAGCAGAAGAGGTAGGCTTAACTCGACGGTTGAGACGTCTCAAAAGTTGAGATAGCTCGACACTTTGGAGATAGCAGAAGAGGTGGGCCCAACTCGACTTATAAGACGTCTCACAAGACCTTTGAGACGTCTAAATTTTTGAGATAGCTCGACACTTTGGAGATAGCAGAAGAGGTGGGCCCAACTCAGCTGCTGATGGCACGGCAGCCAGCCCGATTCTTGAGACATCTCAAGAGTCGCTGCTGGTGCTACTGCCATCACACCTGGTGGGTTGAGCTGCTACTACTGGAGGGGTGGAGAGGAAAGGTTTAGGGTAAGGCAGCAACAAGCAGGAGCAGCACACCCACCTCAGTGGTGCAACACCTACTCCGATTGAAAGGGATGCAGAGCGGTTGGTTTGGAACGAAGAGGCTGTACCTTGAAAGGGCGTGCCAGCTGTCAGCAGGCGAGTGGTTCTGCTGGAATCTCCTGCAGTCAGGTTGCCTATTGCCCGCACCACCTGGGGTGAGAGAGAGAGAGAGAGAGAGAGAGAGAGAGAGAGAGAGAGAGAGAGAGAGAGAGAGAGAGAGAGAGAGGACTTAGCCTCTGCCCTCTGCCTCTGCCCTCTGTCCCTAGCTATATAAGTGTCCCGTGGAGACCTCTTTTCTTCATTAGTTCATTTGGTTCCAGTTTTCGTAGGCGGAGAGAGTGAGAGAGAGAGAGAGGACTTAGCCTCTGCCCTCTGCCTCTGCCCTCTGTCCCTAGCTATATAAGTGTCCCGTGGAGATCTCTTTTCTTCATTAGTTCATTTGGTTCCAGTTTTCGTAGGCGCTCGCGCTGGCGGCCTTCGGCCGCCAGCACTTGCGTGCGCAGCCTGCGGCCGCGTGGTTTTGGGTGGCAAAGACTAGAGGTAGGACAGATATAGGCACACACGGCAGGACAACTATGGGCCACGTGCCCACCTTCTAGACACCGAGATGCAACAGGTCTACATACGGCGGGTGCCTGAGGCTACATCAAGTGGGCATCCAGTGCCGCAAGGATACCGCGCATGGTCCTCCACAACTGCTGGACCACTAACGCGGTCGCGCCGACAGCTTCAATCGCGCCTCCATCGCGGAGGTGTGCTGTCAGACCCTGGACCGTCTCGTCCAGCTGCGAGACCGCTACGCCTCCCAACGCAGGCGCTCCCAGCACGGGTAGGAGGAGGAAGGCAAGCTGGGCAGCAGCCGCCATGCAATCAGCTCGCGCATCACGATCAAGAGTGCTCCCTGGGTTCCGGAGAATGGCAAAATGTGAGTTCACCAGAATCAGAGTCAGGGCCTGCTGACACTCCACCAATCGCCACAACTGGGCGAGAGTCGCCGTGGGAACTTGGGCCAGCCCAGTGGTCAGTAGCGCGGCCGGAGCAGGAAGAGGGGGCGGGGGCTGCACTGATGGAACATCAGCACGCTGCCGCGGAGGGACAAAGGCCATCCTCGCCCCTCCGCCTCCCGCCCCCACAAATCCCGTGCCCGAAAGAGGAGGAATCCAGGGCAGCGGGGGATATGGCGCAGCAGAAACAGGACACAAGGATGCATGCGGAGCACGATCAGCGCCAGGAGCGGGAACCCGCGGGTACGCCAATGCGGGTGGCGCAGGAGCAGCAAGGGGCGCGGCCGGAGCTTGCGCATTCACTGGAGCGGGGGCGGACGCAGGAGCGGCGGGAGCCAGAGAGTTTCCAAGATTCGGTGCGCCACTCAGAGCACTGCGCATCGCCGCAGCTAACATCCCCGGGAAATCCTCGCGCAACTGCTGCATCTCGCTTGGCCCACCGCGCCCGCGAGCGTGACCTCCCCACCAGCCACCGCGGCCTCCGCGGTGCGCCGACCGGTACGACGAGGAGGGGCGTCGCCGAGGAGAACCTCACCCCCGATGCGCTGCCGCATTGCCCCCCGCGGCACCGTGTATCTGAGACTCCGCGTGCCGCTGCGCGACGGGATGTACCGGCGCAGCCGCAGGGGCCACCAGGCGGGCAGAGTCGGGGCCGGCGCCCACCGCTGTCCCCGGCGCAGGGCCCCCGGCGGCAGCTTGGACAGACGGCGCGGCCACAAGCGACGGCTGCGCGACGGGAATCGGCGCTCCGGACGCGGGAACAACGTGTGGAAAGCTCGGAGGGGGAGCCGACACCGGCGGGACTGGAACAAAGGACGCCGCAACAGCAACAGGAGGAGCCGGGGGGGCAAAGGGAGCAGCAGCAACAGCTACACCAGCAACAAGGGCCGGAGGCGGAGCAATCGCGCTCTCAGCGGTGTGACCTTGATCCACCGCTGACTTCTCCGCTTCAGTCGCCATTGCGGCGAACGCGCCGACAGCAGGTGATCGAGGACGCATGGCTGCGTCAGAACGCGGGAGTAGGTAGTCGCGGAAATCCCCAGCTGACCGCGGCCAGTGCGCGGGCACGAGGGGGTCGAGCCGGAGGCCGCGGACGTGGTAGAGGCACTCGTGAAGGAGGTCCGGAGAACGCGTTCCAGGCAGCGGCGCGAAGGGCTTTAACTGAATTAGCTAGAACTAATGAAGAAGTAGAAGTATCGGGGAGTATTTATGAGGCGGAGGAGGGAGAAGCAGTCGCACCCTCAACTTCGAATGCCTCGGAGGAGGCCCAGTCACAAACTCCAGCTCGGGGGAGAATCAGCTCAACCCATGCCCGAAGCGCGTCATCAAATTTCAGAAACACATTCACCCAGCCGCAACCCTCACCACAGATTCAAACCGCTTCCCGCCCCCCTGCCACCACTGCCAACCATCCCGCCCAACCGAACCTGACTTCGCCACCTGCAAATGAACCGCGAACTGCAGCGAGGGGTAACCAACAGCAACCACAGAGCCCCCCCCCAAAAATCGCCCGAAGCCCTCGCCAAGGACGACACACTATTCGCGAACGTCAGTACCTGGAATCTGGATAAGCTACGCGATAGTCGCAACGCTCCGCTGGCACGTCGCCTGCCGGAAAAATTGCGCCTACTTTTCGCTATGGTTATGCTGACACCACTGCTACGACTCGCACACGACCCAGACTCCATCCCGGCCTGGACGATTCTGCTGTTCGCGGCTTGCCTGACGCTGCGTCAGCATTCGCCGAGGCACCCTGACTGGAAGGCGACCAGGGAAAGATTGCGTAAATTCCTGCGAGGGGAGTGGGAGGCACTGTACCAGGAAACGGTTGATTCGTTGGAGTCCCCTCAGCCACCTAGACACCAGCCAGACGACCTGGGGGTAATATCAAGGGCAGAGGGTCTGGCGCGACGAGGCAGCTTACGCAGAGCAGTCATGGCACTGGAAGCCACCCCAGTCAGCAAGCCATCACCGGCGGTTCTGGAATCCCTTCGCGCCAAGCATCCAAGTGCCCCGCGCCCTGGCACACCGTGGCCCCAGCCTGAACCGGACTCATACCTGGCAGTTTCGCGGGAAGTTTTTCTGAAGCTCCTCTCGCGGTGTGAGAATGGGGTAGGCGCAGGTCCCTCGGGCACAACGTTCGAGCACCTGCGCGAAGCTGCCCTGATACACGCCACCGTTGGGTATCACTTACATGCGTTGGTCAACACAATCCTGAGAGGGAAGTTGTGTCAGGAAGTAGGGAAGCTCCTCACAGCATCACGTTTGATAGCCCTAGACAAGCCCGATGGGGGGACCAGGCCGATCGCCATAGGAGAGTGCGTCCTCCGATTGGCAGCCAAAGCAGCGCTTACCCAGCTAGCAGAAGCAGCCCGAGAGTTTTTCCTACCTTTACAGTTTGGAGTGGCCATGCCTGGAGGTGCCGAAGCAGTCATTCATATCGTTCGCACTTTCACTGCGGCCAACAAGGACGCCTTGGTCTTACAGGCTGACCTGGCCAATGCGTTCAATAGTGTTGACCGCCACGCCATGGCGACGGCCTTGAAAGACTCACAGTTGGAACCACTACTGCCACTGGTACACTTCTCATACGGCCAGCCTTCAATACTGCACCTAGACGCGGCCTTCGACCATCCGCCCCTGCTCAGCGAAACAGGAGTCCGCCAAGGGGACCCTCTCGGCCCCCTCCTTTTTGCCGCCGCCATGCAACCGGCTCTGAAGGCAGCTGCGGAGGCGCACCCCGAGGTCATCTGCTTGGCATACGCAGATGACGTGACCTTCTTGGGGGAACCGTCGTCGTGCGCGGCTGCGTTTAATCACTGCACAAGCCGCTTGGCTGAAATAGGGCTCAGCCACAATCCTGCCAAATGCGGGGCTTGGTCAGAAAGGACGCCCACGGATTATCGCCTTCCCGAGGGAATACCACCGAGCAGCGAAGGCTTGAAAGTGCTGGGGAGCTACATCGGCTCCTCCTCGGCAACCTCTGCCTTCGTTCGTTCCAGCTTGGAGGCGATGAGCGCGCCGCTGGGGTTGATAGAGCGCATGGAGCCGCAGCTGGCGGGACTACTGCTGTCCCGCTGCATCTCACGGCGGGTGTCATACTTAGCCCGCACAACACCTCTGCCTTTCCTGCCCAAGGAGGAGTGGTCTGAATGGGGAAGGCGGTTGCTGGAAACGCTCCTTACAGCATGTGGCATTAACCACCCGCGGGGGGATGAGGAAACTTCTCGCACGTGGGCGCAAGCCTCACTACCCATATCGCTCGGTGGCCTGGGGCTGACGGACCCTTCCGTGGAAGGAAGCTACAGCTTCCTCGCCAGCTACACGCAGGCGCAGCTCTTACTCGACTCCTTGGACAGCGAGTGCTCTGGCCCTTTGGAAGTCACGCGCGAGCTGATGCGCGGCCCCTACACCGAGTCCTCCCCCCTGACCGAGTGGCTGGCGGAATGCGAAGGGGAACTCCCACTTCCAGCCCAAGAAGTTCTTCAGGCTGAGAGATCGGCTCCAACTGCGGGGAAACTGCAGCCCGGGTTGGCCATGGCTATCCAGGGCCAGCGCTATGCCGTGCAGGTGGACGAGGTGCGGGGGATGAGCCCGAACCCCAACAACGGTCACACGCAGCGGATGCTGTCCCTGTCGGGATATGGGGCGGGGGATTGGTTAAACGCAGTGCCTATCCACTCCTCGCTCCGCCTTGAGGCTCCCCACTTTGCCAACGCGCTCCAGTTTAGGCCGGGGCTCCCATTTGCGGCTCCTGGGGTTTGCAACTGCTCGAAAAAGGTGGAGATCCCGGATAAGCGGCTCCCGAACCACCTGCTACGATGCGGAACAGGGGGGGGGCGCACAAACACACACAATGAACTTAGGGACGAGTGCGCACGGATGGCGCAAGACGCAGGCTTCATGGTGCATATAGAGACGGCCGCCTTCAGCCCAGTGGAGGAGAAGAAGGCAGATCTGGCCTTACGCTGCCGCTCCACTGGCGCCGTCTATATCTGCGATGTGACGGTAACGGACGCCATCAGCACCCGCGATGAGAACGCCACCAAGGGGAGGGGGTGGGCGGCACGGGAGGCAGCGGATAAGAAACACGGCCTTTACAAGGACCGCCCAGAATGGGTGAAGTTCTTCCCGCTAGCGGTCGAG